GTATCTAAATTAAATGCGTTTTAAGGAACAAAAGCTCCTTTTTAAGGATTATGCTGATCAGAAGTAAACTATAGGTTGCAAAACGGAGACCCAGAGAATAGTGCATTTGTTTTGTTCCTCTAGTTATTGATTTAAAAAAATTTTTGTAGTAAACTCTATCCCCAAGGTGGGACTCTTAACTCTCAAACTCTGAGATCCAGGGTTACGGGCTCTACTTACCCAACCAACCACTCCTGTTGTTTTCTTGTTAAGAGCAACAATGTATACATAATAGAATTCAATTGCAAGTAAGAGTCAAACACTTGTCACAGAGGTAACTGTGCTTTTTAAACAGCACTCTAAAATTAAGAACTTGCCGGGGACCTTTAAACCAACCCAGAGTAAAATTGTGTGGGTTTTTTTGTTTTGTTTTGTTTTGTGAACGTTGCTGCCACCTACCTGCATATTGCAAACACACTTTATTAATGTGGCAATTAGAGTCTTAGTAGAGCCTTTCTATCTGAGAATAATTTTGTCAGAAAAGGATACTTAAAGAGAATGTACTTAACACAAGGAATAATGTTTCTCAGTAAGGAATTTTAAAAATTGAAATGTTATATTAAAAAATACATTCCAAAAAGTAAACTCCAAAATTATTCAAATAAGTTTATTTCACTATAGTAAATTTTAAATTATAATTGCAACATCTTTAATTTTTACAAATTTGATTTTTGGAGTGCAATTTTTTTTGCAGAATTCTCTTACAGTAATTTGGTAACATTTTCATTTTTGACTTTTGCAGAATTTTTTTTTTTTTGCAAAAATTCTGAAAACACCTGCAATTTTATTAATGCCATTTTGCCCTCTCATTTCACTATGAAAAGTTTCAGACATACACGGAAGCTAAAAGAGCAGTATTAATAAACACCTACGCATACCATATAGTTTCAGTAATTGTTAGTGTTTTGCCATGTTTGCTTTAACTATATCTCTATTTTATTTATTTATTTATTTAAAAAATTTTTATTTATTCATTTGACAGACATAGATCACAAGTAGGCAGAGAGGCAGGCAGAGAGAGGGAGAAGCAGGCCTCCCATTCCAGGGAGCCCGGCACGGGACTCGATCCCAGGACCCTGGGATCATGACCGGAGCTGAAGGCAGAGGCCTTAACCCACTGAGCCACCCAGGTGCCCCTCTATCTACTTTCTAAATATATTTTTTTTAAGATTTAATTTTTTAAAGTAATCTCTGCAGTGAAATTGGGGCTCGAACTTACAACCCTGAGGTCATGAGTCACATGTTCCACTGACTGAGCCAACCAGGCACCTCTATACCTTTTTTGCAACTGAACCAATTTAAAGTACTTAGAAACATCACATTTTACCCCTCAGTACTTAAATACGTATATCCTTATCCGAAAAGAATAAGGGCATTCTCAAAACAACAGCAATATAATATCTAAGAAAATTTTACATTTTCCTGTCATTTATTTATTTAAAAAAAAGATTTTATTTATTTGACAGAGAGAGAGATTACAAGTAGGCAGAGAGGCAGGCAGAGAGAAAGGAGGGAAGCAGGCTCCCTGCTGAGCAGAGAGCCTCGGAGATGCGGTGCTCCATCCCAGGACCCTGAGATCATGACCTGAGCCAAAGGCAGAGGCTTAACCCACTGAGCCACCCAGGCACCCCACATTTTTCCTATCATTTAATAATCAATTACTATTTTAGTTTTCCATTTTTTAATGCTCTTTATGGCTTCTTCGTTTTTACTCAGACTGACCCTAATTCACACACTGCATTTGGCTGATATCTCTCTCTCTGTCTCTCTACTGGCCTGACCCCCTGAGCTTGCACATGTGAATCATAAAGTGCCAGAGGCGACCTCAGTTCCATTATAGTGTTAAAATCCCTTCTGAATATTCATCCCAAATCCTAATAAGAGGAGCCTGTTTTCCCTTGTTTGGAAGACACTGTTTTGGAAATTAATCCCTGTGATCTCCTTGTTTGTACAAGTAAAATTGACCCCGTGAGGCAACTCTACCTGGGGTAACCTGACATAACTCATCAAGGAGTGGGCCTACTTTGGTTTGTTAACATTCTCTCTAATGCCCTTAATTTTTTTAAGTCAAGTTTATTGAGGTATGATTTACAGCAAAAGTCATCCTTTCTGAGAGTTTTGATTCAGTTCTGAGAGTTCTGACAAAAATACCAGAGTATTACAACCACCATTATAATTGAGATATAGACTATTTTCACCATCTTAAAAGTTCCCTCATGGCCTTTGCTGTCAGCATCTTTAATCCCCAACTTCATCTCCGGGCAACTACTGGTCTAATTTCTATTTGTACAGTTTTATGTAGTCACATATATGGAATCATACAGGAGGTTGTCTTCAATGTCTGGCCTCTTTTACTTAGTATAATGCTTTTGAGATTCATCTGAGTTGTTGCATGTATCAGTAGTTTTTTTTTTTTTTTTTTTTTTTTAAGATTTTATTTATTTATTTATTTCACAGACAGAGATTACAAGTAGGCAGAGAGGTAGGCAGAGAGAGGGGGAAGCAGGCTCCCCGCTGAGCAGACAGCCCGACACAGGGCTCCATCCCAGGACCCTGGGATCATGACCTGAGCCGAAGGCAGAGGCTTTAACCCACTGAGCCACCCAGGTGCCCCCAGTAGTTTGTTTTTATAGCTGAGGAATATTCTGCTGTATGGATGTACTACAGTTTGTTTGTTTACCAGTTGATGGCATATAACTGGCTTGGGTTTATTATGAATAAAGACAATTTTTGATTTTAATAGCAATTGTGTTATAATTTCTAAAACAAATTTATTTTTAGAGTGCCATTTTTAAGGTCTAAGATATGCTTTAAAATCATTTTAACAATTGCCAATTTAAAATTATCTACATAAAATCCTAAGTAACTAAATGTGTCTACTACCCTTTCAAGTTAAATTTCTGGTTACTTTATTTCCCATATACCCATCTGATATACATACTTCCATAGACTGATACACACACACACACACACACACACACACATATATACCACTCCTTACCTAGTTTAAGTAGTTGTGATGGAAAACTTCAAGATTTAGTCAGTTGCCATAGAAGTTCATAAGGAGCCATCTGGATGTATTCTGGGGGCCAGGGGGCCCATAATGACAAATCTGAGTTTTATAAACATCAGTTAATTAATGAGCAACCCTATTTTTGGATGGTAAAAACATGGTGGAGCTATTAAATAGGAGGACAGATGCCGAGGGAACTAAAAAATTTTGTTTGGGAATGGTGGAGTCTCCATAACTTTGGTTTTCATAAAGCTACTGCTCCCTTTTCTCTGTAGAACAGGCCAGTTCATCACCAACAGCATTTTACACCATGTCAAGTTTCTCAAAATACCTCTGAGAGTCACTGTCTCCAGTGGAATCATTTTACATGTGGAAATTTTACACATGTGATCGTGCTTGCTAAAATATCCACTGAGAGGTAAAAAGTGTATAGTGATTATGTGCTCAGTTCTAGAGTCAGAACACCAGGGTTCATCCCCAGTTCTGTTCTTTAATTGTAGTGTAATTTGGGGCAGGTTCCTTAAACACTGTCCCAGTTCTGTTGTCAGTAAAATGGGGATATTAGTCATCTTTTCTTAAGAGGAATGTTCTAAGAATTAAGTTACTGCAGGGAGAGAATTAAGAAAAAAAAAAAAAACACTTGGCATGCAGTATGAACTAAATAAGTGATAGTTATTATAATCTATTCCAAATGTGACAGTATCAAATTATATTATGTAGTCTGATTGACAAAACTTCTGCTAGATCAAGTAAAAAACTCCATAATATATCAAGCATTACTTACTGAATTCTTAGTATGTTCCAGGCATTTCACCTAGATATAAAAGGAATTAACCCAATAGCTCAGCAGTTTTACAGACATTTTACAGACAAGGGACTTGGGAAAGAAATAGTTTAATTAACTTGCCCACTATGGCAGAATTTGTGGAGCAGAATGGAATCTAGCCTGATTGTAGAGTTAATATATAGCCTCTTTTCCCTACCAAAAATAAATTAAAAAACCCTTAGCAGGAGATAAAATTTGTTAAATCATGACAAGTTTTAAAAGTTTATTAGCTCTACTCTTGATTAATGGATTGATTCAGTATTTTGTTTAAACTTCTCACGCAAATTTTTATTAAGTCACAAAAAAAGAACGGTTTCATAGAATCATAAAATGGACAAGTTTTCAGAGCATCTAATTTAGCTCTCCCATTATATAACTATGTTAAGGAAACACCCAGAATGGTGCCACAATTTGTCCTACATGACATTGCTAATGGCTGAGTAGATTTCAAGACACCTGATTAGGACTCCTTTCGGGACATCATACTTAAATGACATATATTTACCTTGGTCATTTTGTTGGCAATGCTTCATGAAAATATTACCCACATATGTGAAAAAAGAATAGATCATCATCATCATATTATTTTTACTTTCAGAGTTGATGCATAGATGGGCTACAGGCGGTTGACAAGTCTGCACAGTCAAATATTCCTCTTCAAACAACTTCTGCAATTTCTACCTCTTATCCACCCGAGTATTATTTTTTTACTCTATAATAGAACCCCCGACAAGTCTCACACTGGGTTCAAGGGCAAAGGCCGCTCTCCAGACGGTGTCCAGCTGAGAAAAACTCGTTTCAAGCTCAGTCTCCGCTTGGCTGGGGAGCAAAGGAGGATCAAGCGTTCCGAGAAATGGAGGGCGGGGCTGCGGGAAAGACGGGGCGGGGCTACGGTGGGCACTGCGAAGGGCGGAACTGTTGGGAGTGTCCAGGGAAGGAGAGAGCCCGTAACGGCTCTCTATTGGGTCGCTCGTCTCGTTTTGCGCATGTGCAGACCGTTTCAAACCGCGGTGTTTGCTGGGCGCGGTGCCTGTGGGGCCGAACCAATGGCTGAGGACCGGCGGTAGCGCGCTTACTGGCTCGCAGGTCCCTCGATTTTGCCGCCCTCCCACCTCAGGCTCCTGGGGCGCCGTCTAACTGCTCCTCCCGCGACTCTGGGCAGTGCCTGGCTTCTTCGAGCCACGGCCCGCGAGGACTTCCGTGCCAGACGCCAGGGGCCGGGTGGGAACATGGCTGCGTCGGGTCTGGTAAGTGCAGGCTCTTGCCGTTCTGGTGAGCGGGAGCTCGGCCGCCCCGTGCCCCGGCGCTCGGGGCGGGGGAGAATGAAATGTTTAGCCTGTGCTGTGGCTTCTTGGAGATTTCAGCGGGAAAGCCCGCGAATTTTTTGCGATGAACACTGATCGTATGCCGATAGCCAGAGTTAATGTTCGTGTTGTTTCCTCAAGGTTTCTTTTAATTTTGGTTGCGATGGCATCTTTCTCTTCAGAGAATCTTGTGATTTAAACTTTTTTTTTTTTTTTTTTTTTGGCCTAACTTTACTTCTTAGTCCTCCAAATAATTTTCTGTCGGTAGAAGTATTGGGGCGCCTTCAAAGTCTGGACTTGATGGTCTGGAGAAGCAGATTATTTGTACATAAGTATCTTATTGAGAAAGTTTTCCTGAGGGCAGCTGTTAATTAAAAGGCGCTTAAGGTGGGAATGACTCAAGGGGGGCGGGCACTCGTTTTTTGTTTCCGTCTCTGGGCTCCCTTGATGGTCACTCTTCTATATTTCACACTTTGCTTATGGTTACTGTGTATTTTACAACCCCTATCAGTGCCTGTCCTAGTGTATTTCCTGCTTTCTCTCTCCCCTTTTAAGAAAATCTTGCTCAGGGATCTCCCCTTTATGTAAAGTTATAAATGTGTGCTTGTACGCATGGAGATGTGTGAAAGGATGCTGGAGAGCGTACTTTTTACTGTGAGCACGCACACTGTTTACATTATGTAGAATTAAAAAAAAGAGAATAAGGCCATTTTCATTGGGGGGGGGAATAAAATTTACCAAATGCCCACAGTTCCTTTTAAAAAAGTTCTTTTTTTTTTTTTTTTTTTTTTTAAGTCTTAGGTTCTTAGCAAAATTAAGCAGGAAGTCACAGAGATTTTCCATACCCCCTTACTCCCGCACATGCATAGCCACCCCTGTTATCAGTATCCCCCACCAGAGTGCTACATCTGTTACACTGGATGAACCTATATTGACACATCGTTATTGCTCAAAGTCCATAGTGTACCATAGGGTTCGCTCCTGGTGTTGTACACTCTGTCAGTTTGGACAAAAATGCAATGACAGGCATCCATCATTGTGGTGTCCTGTAGACCGTGTTTTCACAGCCCTGTATATCCTTTGTGTTCTGTCCATTGACCCCTTCCTCCCCACACAGCTCTTGTAACCATTCATCTTTTTACCATCTTCATAGTTTTTACTTTTTCCAGAATGTCATCTACTTGGAATCACACATACATAGCCTTTTCAGATTGACTTTCATTTGACATTACACATTTATCCTTCGTACCTTTTCATGGCTTGATAGTTCTTTCCTTTAAGTGCTGAATAATAGTCCGTGGTCTGGATATACCACAGTTTACCCGTTCACCTGACATCTGGTTGCTTTCAAGTTTGGCAGTTATAGGTAAAGTGGCTCTATGGGATGCCTGGGTGGCTCAGTTGGTTAAGCGACTGCCTTGGGCTCGCTGGGTCATGATCCTGGAGTCCCGGCATTGAGTCCCACATGGGGCTCCCTGCTCGGCAGGGAGTCTGCTTCTCCCTCTGACCCTCCCACTTCTCATGCTCGTTCTCTCTCTCACACTCTCTCAAATAAATAAATAAATAAAATCTTTTGAATTAAAAAAAAAGTAAAGTTGCTCTAAACATCTGCGTGCAGATTGTTGTATGGACAGTTGTGTGGACAACTCCCTTGGGTAAATACCAAGCAGTATGATAGCTAAGTCATGGTAAGAGTCTCTTCAGTTTTGTAAAAACCACCAAACTCTTCCAAAGTGGCTGTACATTTGGAATTTTTACATTCAAAAATAAATGAGAGTTTCTGTTGCGCATTTGAAGTTGTTGGGTGTTCTAGATTTTGGTCATTCTAATAGGTATAGTGGTATCTCATTGTTTTAATTTGCTTTTGATGAAATATGATGTGGAACATCTTTTCGTATGCTTATTTACCATCTGTACATCTTGGTACGTGAAGTGTAAGGTCCATTTATTTATTTATTTATTTATCTTTTTAAAAGATTTTATTTATTTATTTGACAGAGAGAGGTCACAAGTAGGCAGAGAGGCAGGCAGAGAGAGAGAGAGAGAGAGAGGAGGAAGCAGGTTCCCTGCTGAGCAGAGAGCGCGATGCGGGGCTCCATTTCAGGACCCTGAGATCACGACCTGGAGCCGAAGGCAGAGGCTTAACCCACTGAGACACTCAGGTGCCCCAGGTCCATTTATTTTTTTAATTGGGTTGTTTGTTTTCTTACTGTTGACTTTTAAGCATTGTTTCTATATTTTGGATAATAGTTCTTACCAGATGTGTCTTTTGCAAATATTTTCTTCCAGCCTGTTGCTCGTCCTCTCATTCTCCTTTTACATTTTTTTTTAAAGCATGATCAGGGTTTTATTTGGATAAATGTTGGCATGGATTTAAAATCTGCAATTGATAATAATAGCATCAATCATGTTAATAAACTCTTTTCTCATTGTGATCTCTGCCTTTCTTTTAAGAATTTCTTCTTTTTTGAGAATGTTGCTGTTCAGAATTTGGGAAGCTTAGACTGGTTGAAATTAGTCTCAGTTCTCATACTGACGGAATTTCTTGTTTTTCATGACCCCAGTCAGTCTTCTATAATCATTACCCTTGTCTAGCTCACCTTCTTTAAAGAAAAACATTTTTTTTTTAAGATTTTTTTTTTAAGATTTTATTTATTTATTTGACACAGAGAAAGAGAGAGAGAGATCACGAGTAGGCAGAGAGTCAGGCAGAGAGAGAGGGGGAAGCAGGCTCCCTGCTGAGCAGAGAGCACGATGTGGGGCTTGATCCCAGGACTCTGAGATCATGACCTGAGCCGAAGGCAGAGGCTTAACCCACTGAGCCACCCAGGCGCTCCAAGAAAAACATTTTTAATCTAAGTTTGTGGTCTCACTTATTTAGTATATCAAAGACATAAGAAAATGGTGTTTGTGTGGTGTATAATATACTAGACAAGGCTCTGGGAAGAATATAAATAGCTTATCATGAAGTCCCTGCTCTCAAGTTTTTAAAAATCAAATAGAGGTCTTCAGGTTTTTAAAAATCAAATAAGAGGTCTTCATCTTGTTGAATAATTGAGTCAAAAATCCTTTAGGTGGGGTCAGGCAAGGTAGGAGATCCCTATGGTGGGAAACTACAATGGCCCAGAGCCCTGTGTTGGAGCCTGAGTACAGTCAGGAGAGTGTTCAGTTCAGGATGTCACAGCATGAGTGGGGTAAAGAGACTGTTTATATGTGGTGGGGTCATTTATAGCCCATTGGGCCAAGAGATATGAGGCTCAATAAATATTTGGTATTGATAATATTTTTTAAAGCATGCTGTTCATCCTGTTACTACCCAGTTTTCAACTAGGATTGATTTAACAATTAAAGATAGAACCCTAAGTATCTCAAATATCCTCTCGGTTTCCAAAATCAGCATGTCTCTGTGTTTTATTTTTCCTGTTGTTCCCAGTGATGAGGCTGTTTCCTAGTTGGAGTTAATGATTTTTTTCTTTCTGGAAGCATCCTAGCATTTCTTAGTCTCACTTTTTCAGAAATTTCACTATTATGGCCTAGGTATGGATCCTCTTAAATTCATCATGCTGGCTATATGCTCTACAGATTTAGGGAATTTGTGTATTTTCTCAGAGTATATCTCTTTTCTTTTTCTTTGTTCTTTTTGGAATAACAATTGGTCAGAAGTTGGACCTCCTGATTTTTGGAACTTTTTTGTTTCTCCCATTTTCTACTTCTTCTTCATTTTTTGGTCTTTTTTTTTTTCCCCCTCTCAGACGTATCTTATCTTTTTCATAATTACTGCTTTTTTTATTTTAGGCAAAAATGTTTTTAATTATTAGGAATTTTTCTTGGGCTCAGCATAGTATACCACTTTTGTTTTATGAGTCCAGTATTTCAAATCTCTTTTCCACGTAGTAATTAGAGTTTTGTTTTTTGTTTTTACATTTTCTTTCTCTCTCTCTCTCTTTTTTCTCTTTCATAGAAGCCTAGCTTGGGTGGCTCAGTCAGTTAAGTATCTACCTTCTGCTCCGGTCAGGATCCCAAGGTCCTGGGATGGAGTCCCTCGTTGGGCTCCTTGCTCTGCAGGGAACCAGCTTCTCCTTCTGCCCACCACTCTCTCTGCCTGTGCTCTCTTTCTCTTTCTCTCTAACAAATAAATAAATAGAATCTTTAAAAAAAATCTTAAAAAAAAATAGAAGGTTTGTTGACACTCAATGTTACATTACTTTCAAATGTACAACATAAAAATTTGACAGGTTTATATGTTGGGTTATGCTCTTTTTTTCTCATTCTTGGTTTCCGTTTTCTCTTGGGCCTTTTTCTTTTCCATTTTTAAAATTCGTCTTGATTTTCCTGTTTTGTTTAGAGACTTTTAAATGTCTGGTGATCCATAGATGCTGGTGGTATTTAAGACTGAAACAATAGAATACAGTTTTTTAGCTCTGTATTTAAATTCAGTTAGTCAGTTAGCTCTGTGTTGATGGGGTGGGGATGTGGGAGTCTTTTATTCTGTTGTTCATTCCCTTTCTCACTCTTTCCTCCTTCATATTTCGAGTTTCCTAGTTCTGCATTGTTACGGCTTTTCCCTGGGCGGATTAGCTTTACGACCCATCAAAAACTGGATCCTCCGAGCTTACTTTTGGCTGCTACTGCTTTTATTCTGCTTCATTAACATACTCCCATTTTTTTCCATCTTCTGGAAATTTGTTAAATTTTTTTGTTAATAGGTGGTCCTCTCTTCCACTCTCTTTTTCATTGCTGTTTTATGTCATTTTAGTGCTTAACTATTATTCTACAGGGATCTGCCCGCAAGTAAAGGAGATAAGTAGATATTGCTAGTCAACCAATTTGAATTATTAGAAGCACAGATAGTTGGAATTTTGATGATGGAAAAGGTATGGAGGCAGGTAGAGGAAAAGGAGAAAGATGGAATAAATCCCAGGGTGAGCAAACAGTATAAGCAAAGATTTTGAAACAGTAGATATGAGGCAAGTTCTCTTTCACTTGATCCAGATGAATTCTTCTTTATAGTATTATAATGGGCAATTATCAAAACTTGCTGAATGAATAAATGAGGAACTTAAATTTTCACCAGTTGAATGATTTACTTTTCTTTTAGGATCATCTCAAAAATGACTACAGAAGAAGATTTTGCCGACCTTCCAGGTGAGTTATATATTTAAGCTTTTAAAGTCATTTTTATTTCTATCTTCAGAAAGTGATTTTTAAATGAAGAAGGGAAAATTCCTTCTAACAATGATTTCTGTGCCCACTGATTAAGTATAGTCTACTTAGTGATTTTGTATTAACAGAAATATTAATGCAAGCACTGTAGTGACTTAGCAGCAGTGAGGAAAGAAATTCAGCTGATAAATTATGGTTCAGGAAGGATCAGTCTTAGTTCTGACTGACAGTCATAGGGAAAGCACTCTGTAGAGTGGATTGAATGGTAATATTACAAAGATGCAGCTTATTTGGTGGGGCTAAAAGAAAACATGGGTGTAGGTTATAAACAGGCAATATAGAGTCTTTATAGTCTGGAACTGTTCAGTATCTTGACTGTGGTGGTGATATCTGAACCTACAGATGTCATAAATTGCACAGAACTAGGTATTAACATAAACCCGCAAACGAGTACAGTTGACCCTTGAACATCTTGGGGGTTAGGGTTGCTGACCACTATAAAGCTGAAAATCCTCATGTAATTTTTGACTCCCCCAAAGCTTCTACTAACAGCCTGCTGTTGCCTGGAAGCCTTACCAATAACATAAATAATCAACACATACTTTGTATACTGTATATTATATACTGTATTCTACAATAAAATAAGCTAAAGAATAGAAAATGTTATTAAGAAAATCATAAGGAAACACAATTACAGTACTGTACTGTATTGGTAACAGTAAGTTTCTGTTGCCTGCTTACAAGAAGAATTGTCTTTTATTACCTACATTAATATAGTCTTATACAAAACACTGTAGATGTATGTATATTACTAGCACTAGACATCAGACGTGAAAAAGTGTGGGAAAGAAATTCATATTTATTTACAAATATAACAGGTATTGATTGATAAAGAAGCAGCAGTATGATTGCTTTATGGTAGCCTGGTGTGATCAATATGATTGTTTTATGGTAGCCTAGTCTATACACTAATGAATAAATTGTTGTAAAATTTTTACAGCATACAGCATATGGTATTATAGTTATATTCATAATATAGTTTGGAAACATTGTTACTCTTTTATTAAACCACTTACCTGTGAGGAGAGACATACTGTATGGTAATATAATTCTTTGAAAGGAAAGTTAAAGACAGTAAGATAACACATTATTAATTTTATATTAAATATCACTCACCTTATGCCTATGTAAAGATAGGCTATCCACTTCCATCAAGTTTGCACAAGATGTTCTACACAATGAATACTTAGATGATGATGATGACAATGACACACAAATGTTTCATACGTTTCTTGCCATACAGTTACTAGATTTTCACATGTGCACGCACACATACATCGTTCATTAATGATATGGCATGCTGATTATTTACTGTTCGTTAAGCGGAAGTGGATCATCACAAAGATCTCTATACCTCATTGTCTTCACACTGAACAGGCTGAAGAGGAGGAGAAAGAGCTGAGGTGATTTGTTAAAAGTGTGATGGAGGCAGAAGAGGTGGGGGAGGTAAAAGGGGAGGCAGGAGAGGCAGGCATGCTTGCTATAACTTGGTACAATTATATCATAACTTTTGTCTGATGTTTGCTTTTTCATTTCTCTAAAATTGATTTTATATGGTACCAGTGGTGCCAATCCTTCTGCTGTTTACCTTATTTTCACTGTCTGTTATGACAGTTAGAAGGTCCATGTCATAAAAGAGGCCGAAAACAGTCTTGAGTAATTAGAGGCCTCTATCAGATTGTCTAATGTCAATTTGTTTTCTGATAGTGCTTCTACATCTCCTACCTCGTCTGGTACTGATTTAGAAGTGCTCATCTCCAGATAGTCATCTTCTGTTAATTCCTCTGGTATTGATGTCTGTTAGCTCTTTAATTTCTCCAAGGTCCTTATTTTGAAACCCTGTACCCCAACCTTTTTTGCCATATCCCCAAACTCTTTCATGACTTTCCTTGTTTGGCTCTATCATAAATCCTGTGAAGTCATGTATTACATCTGCACATAGTTTCCTCCAGCAGGAGTTTATTGCGTTGGGCTTAATGGTTTTCATAGCTTTTTCTCTAACAATAATGGTATCTTCAATGCTGTAATCCTTCCAGACTTTCGTGATGTTTTCTCTGTTACATATTCCATAGCATAGAGAACCATGTGTAATGAGTCTTTACGGTCCTTATGATCCTCTATTCTAGAGGCTGAATTTGAGAAGTTGTGTTGGGGGCACGTATACCATTTTGACTCCTTCAGTGTTGAACTCTTGGGGTTTTGGGTGGCCAGTGGCATTTTTAATATCAGAAGAACTTTAAAAGACATATAGATCCTTACTGGTAGGATACCTCCTGAGTTCAGGGACAAAGCACTGGTAGAACCAGTCCAGAAGAAGGATTCTCATTGCCCAGCTTTCTTGATATAGTACAACCCAAAATCTGGCAGCTGGTGTTTATCTTTTTCCTTCAAAGCTGGGGTTTAGCAGTTTTGTAGACAAGTCAGTCCTGATTATTATTATTTGCACAAAACAGTAGAGTTAGCCTATCCTTTGCTTGCTTCTCTTCCTTAATAATAAATGTCCTCTATGGCATGTTTTTTTTTAGAATAGAACAATTTTGTCTGCTTTAAAATATGTTTACACAGAGTTCCTTTTTACTCAGTGATTTTCTTTTTCTGCCCCCCCCTTTTTTTTTTTTTTAGAAAAGTAGCTTTATTTATTTGAGAGAGAGAGAGAGAGCATATGTATAAGCAGGGGGAGGGGCAGAGAGAGTAGGAGACAAGCAGACTCCTTTTTGTGAGGGGAGCTCGATGAGGGGCTTGATCTCAGGATCCTGAGCCAAAACCAAGAGTTGGATAATTAACTGACTGAGCCCTCTTTTTTTTTTTTTTTGAGAGAGAGAAGGAGTGTGGGAGCAGGCATGCAAGCAGGAGGGAGGGGCAGAGGGACAGGGAGAGAGATAATCTTAAGCAGGCTCCATGCCTAGCATGGAACCCGATATAGGGCATATTCTCATGACCCTGATACCATGATCTGAGCTGAAATCAAAAGTCGGATGCCCAACTGACTGAGCCGTTTTTATTATTATTATTATTATTATTATTATTATTTTGAGAGAGTGTGCACAAGCAGTGGGGACAGTGGATGGGCAGAGAGAGAAGGGAGAACATTTTAAGCAGACTGCACTGAGTGGGGAGCTCAGTCTCATGATCCTGAGATCATGACTTGAACTGCAGCATCTGGGAACTTGTATGCTGCCTTTTTTTTTTTTTTTTTTTTTTTTTTTTTTTTTTTTTTTT